AGGCAGGGGTGGTAGAGACGGAGAGCATGAATAAGCAGATGTGTCCGGTGCAAGACAGGGGTAAGAGCTCTGGGACAGTTAAGCAGAGGACAGGGTAGAGGGATGGGGCAGCTTCCAGTGGGGTGGGCCGTGCTGGGAGATCTCTGAGGAGGAAGCGTTTGGGCAGATGGATTGAGTGATGGGGGTCAGTAGGGGAGGTCGGGGTCCCAGGAGGGGGTGCAGTGCAGTGTGACCAGCCTTCCTAGCTTGGTCTCCTGGAGGCTGAGGAGGGCTGCCCCCTGCCCCTCCTAGCCCAAGGTCTTTGCCCCAGGCCCTGCCACCCACCAGCAAGGCTGAGGCCCCTCTGCCTGGTTCCCATGCCCCCTGCTCTGACCACTGCCATGTCTTGCCCACGCTTTGCCCTGGTCCCCACCTGGGTGCTGGTTCCCTCTCCCAGGGAATGCCCAGGGAGGGGCCCTAGGAGCTCCCTGGCATTGGGCAGACCCTGCCCCTGTCTCGCACAGCTGATGTCTTGGGGACGGTGAGGCGACAAGACATGCCAGTACAGGGCTCATGGACACAGTCCTGGGGGGCCAGTGTCCTCGACAACGGAGGCCTTGTGTGGGGGGTACCTTCCGCCCACACTGAGGACGAGGCCTGGATAGCGGAAGGAGCTGGGATGCAAGCCACAGAGACTTTGCGAACTGTGCCCGCGAGAGTTCTGCATTTTAACTCTGCGCCTTGACTTCTTGTCTGTACTGTGGGCTAGTGACGGCATCTGACTCCCAGGGCTGTGGTGAGGATGACCGAGGGCGTGTGTGGACAGAGCCCGTCATTCTCAGTGGCAGGCGCCGTTCTTGGGGGTGGTCAGTCACCGAGTGAAGGTGCTTGGTGCTGGGATGGCTCACGCCGACCCACCCCGAGTCCTGGCTCAGCCACCTCTTGGTTGCAGCCTTGCACAGTTCTTCCCTCGGAGCGGCAGGCTCCTCCTCTGTAAAATGGGCCCAAGCCGGCATGTGCCGTGCCCAGTGAGTGTCCCTGCCCTCTGTACTTCTGGGGAGGCACTGGCCCCCGATGTGGGGAAGTCAGGCTCAGGGAAAGGACTGGGTGGCTGGCTGGGAGCTGCTCTGGGGTCCCCCTCCCTTAGTCCTGCCAGCAGGCTGGCCCCAGGTCCGCCCCGCCCCGCCCATTCACCCAGAGCCTTTCCTAAAGTGACCCTCCCACCAGTGGCGTTATTAATAGCCCTGGCAGGGCTCGGATCACAGGCCAAGAATGTTACCCAGCAGTGCGTGGGGGAAGAGGAAGCCGCGAGGCCGGCGCCTGGGGTGGGTGCGGAGTGATGCCCGGGGCGTCATGTGGGCCAGGCAGGAGGGCCTTCGCCACCCCCACCCCCACCCCCACGCCGTCATCCGCTGTCCCTCCTCCTCTTCCTCCTCCGTCTCCTGCTCAGGTAAGGGCTGCCTGGGTGTCCCTGTCCCTCAAGGCCACTGCCACTTCTTTCTTCCCGAGTCCCCGCAACACCCACTTCCTGCTGCCCACGGCCACCGCTGTGTGTCAGAGCCCCTGAGTAGCCGGGGTCCCATCCCCATGTGTCTGCCTCCCTCTGTGGGGCCCAACCGTCCCGGGACGGGTCCTTGAACTCTGCCTGGTCTCTCTCTCTCCCCCTCCCCATCTCGCTCTCTCTCGGAGGCTGGGCCTCCGTCCATCTCACCCCATCCCACCTGAGATCTGTCCTCTCTCTCCCTCTCTCTCCCTCCCCATCTCGCTCTCTCTCGGAGGCCTGGGCCTCCGTCCATTTCACCCCACCCCACCTGAGATCTGTCCTCACTCATTCCTGTCAGGTGCCAGTTACATTTTTTTCCCTTTTGGGTCTTTGCATTTTTGTTTTTAAACTAAAGGACAAAGCCAGCTGCCCCTTCTTGGAGTTTATTTCTTCCCTGTTTTAGGCGCCCAGAAGAAAACTATTTTTAGTGCCCAGTGATGGGGTCACGGCTGGCCGTCGCCAGGCCAGAGCGGGCGGATCTGGGCAGGGACAGGAACTTCTGGCAGAGCTGATCTGAGAGTCCAGCCCCCACAGGACACTGCTCTGTGTTCCTGCCCCGTGTGCTTGGTCACTCCCTCACTCACTTGTACCCAGCCCTCCGTGGACTGTCCCAGGACCTGGGGGCAGCAGTGGAGTATGTGACCCAACCCGTGAGCCATTTTCCCCCAGCCCTGGCCTGGCCCCCGGAGCTGCGCATCCCTAGGACCTGAGTTGAGGGCTGGTTTAGGGTCTCAGCTCCGGGGACCTGGGCAGGTGTGTTGCCCCCACCTCAGCTGTGTCATTGGCCTATCTGATTTTCCAGGTGACTCAGAGGAAGAGGACATGGGGCTCCTGGAGGTCAGCGTTACAGATATCAAGCCCCCAGCCCCCGAGCTGGGCCCCATGCCCGACGGCCTGAGCCCTCAGCAGGTGTGCGTGGGGAGTGGGGTGGGTGGGGCGTCTGCCAGAGAAGGGAGGGCCGAGTCCTAGCCTGCTCCTGGGCCACACCAGTCTGGCTTTGATGGGCAGTGAGCACTGGCTTGGGCAGGGGCTTCCTGGGTTCTCTTCCCAGCTGGCTGTGCAGGTTTTGCACATTGGGCCTGCTGGGGACCACGAGACTGGTTTGGGGGGCAGTGGGCCCCTGCATTGGAAATAGAGCAGGACTGACTGACTAAGCCGTGATATGAGGAGAGGAGCTGCAGTTGGGGCGACGAGAGACTGCGGCGTGCAGAACCTCTAACTGCACCCCCTCTGCCCCCTGTCATCACGCCAGGGCTCAGGGTGGCCACGGGTTTCCAGGGGCTGGGCTCCTAGGTGGGGCCTTCCCTACCTCAGAGCATCACTGAGGGCAGCTGGCCTTGCTCTGGGGTCGGACTGTGGCCGAGCCATGTTCTTACCCCTCCCAGTCTGGCTTTGGGCAGCTGTGGGGTGGGGGGCGGATCCCCGCTTCTCTCTGGTTGAGGATGCTGAGTGAGAGGAGGCGGGGTAGCAAGTGCAACAGCACTTTGGTTGGCCTCTTCCAAAACTCAGGAAGATGAGGTTTGCCCCTCTCTTGGTTGGCCTCTTCCAAAACTCAGGAAGATGCTGCCGAATCCACTCAGGTGCCTGCAGGGCAGTGGGCGGGCCGCTCTGCTGTCCAGGGGAGGAGGGCGTGTCTCACTGAGCTCACCCAGCTGCTGGTCAGGCTGCAGCTTTGGAAGCGCTCTGCCTGCTTCCTTCATGCGCATTACCTGCCTGACCTCTGAAGGGCACTTGGGACGGGGCCACTGCCACTGTCAGGGAGCCAGGAGGGACCCCAGGCCTCTGCCTCTGGGTATGGGCGAGGTCTCTCTCCTCGACTTTCTGGCATTTCCTGGATAAGGCAGTATCAACTTCTGTAGGCCAGTAGCTCCCAACTGAGGGTGATTTTTGTCCCCCTCAGACAAGAATGGACATTCAGGGGAACCAGCAGTTAGCGTAATGGCTATGTCGCTGGATTCCCACGTAGTCGACCGTGGTTCGCGTCCCGGACCTGGTGGCTTAAAACTCACGCCGGGCATGTGTGCGTGTGTGCCCAAGATCCCGAGAGACGAATGGAGGAGAAGGGATTGCGGTGTGGCCATCCCCACTGGCAAAAATCTCTCAAAAAAAAAAAAAAAAAAAGAATGGACATTCAGCAACCTCTGGAGACATTTCAGGATGTCTTGACACGGGTGTCTTGATTCGGGGTGTTGGGTAGAAATAGGCCAAGAAGGCTGCTGAACATCCTGCCCAGCATAGGGGACCCTGGCCTGGGGAGCTCCCAGCCACACGGCCAGGGGCTGGGGTCCCGGGTTCTGCTCTGGTGCGCGTGGACATGAGGGGATTGCTGACAGCTTGTCCGGCTGTGGAATGTCGGTCAGGGTGGTGAAAGCCCACGTGCCTGGCCATGCTGAGGCCTGGGCTGCGGGAAGAGACGACAGGTGTGTGCAGGCAGAAGGGAGGCCGGGGAGCAGGACAGGGGGAGCATGACTGATGGGACCTGGCTGGGTTGGCTCTCAGGATAGCTGTAGGGGGCAGTCACCTCCCAGCCCTGGGTGAGGGTGGATGGGCCTCCCTTTGGACACCTCTCACATATGGTCCCTTTCCTGGACACGGTGCCAACTTCACTGCACAATAGGGTTACCGGGGAAGGTTTCGAATGCTGATACCCAGGTCACACCTGTGCACATTAAATTGGCATGCCTGGGGTTGGGACAGTCTGTCTTGAAGATCCCACATGATTTCAGCACCCAGCTGAGTTTGAGGCCCACCGCTCTGCTGTCCAGGGGCGGAGGGCACGAGTCTCACTGAGTTTGCCCAGCTGCTGGTCAGGCTGCAGTTTTAGGGTGGTTGTTCCATGTGTGCCCTACCTCTGCAGGGGTGCTGATCCTGGCTACAGGGAGATTGGGCTGGGAGGGGCAGAGGGGAGGGGGCTGGGAGTGGAGACCTGAAGTGGCCACACCAGAGGGGTGGGAGGTCCCCCAGCACCATCTAGAGGCGGAGGGCTGCTCAAGGGTCCCATCTGCAGCAGGTGGTGGAGCTGAGTTGTCTGCCCCCCGAGAAGGCGTTCTCTAGTTTACCTGGAGATGGGGAGGCTGCTGTCCACCATGGCGGGGGAGTGACACCTCCATCCCCAGGGGATGTGAGCCAAGGCTGGCAGGGCCTGAGCAGGGGCTTCCTCTGGGGGTGTGCCCTTGCTCGGGGGTGGGGGCAGAGCCTCTGGAAGGAGGGGCACCCAGCAGGCTCAGTGGCCCCGGGAGCAGCTGGTCCCCAGGTGACTGGTCTCTCTGCCCGTGTTGTCAGCTCCCCTCCCTGTCACTTGGGGTCCGCACCCAGCAGACGTGGGCTCCCCGTGGAGGGTGTCGGTGCATTGACTGCCTCTCGGCCTGAGCAGGTGGTCCGGAGGCACATCCTGGGCTCCATCGTACAGAGTGAAGGCAGCTACGTGGAGTCTCTGAAGCGGATCCTCCAGGTGGGACTTCACAGGGCTCTTAGGGGTCTCTGGGGGAGGGTGGGAGGGCCCTGGTGGGACACTAAACAAGGAGTGTTTGGGGACAGTGGGCAGCTTTAAGAGGAGGGAACCTAAAGCCAGCATAGTTCTGTGGGGGCAGCAGCCACGAGAGCCCCGTGGCTTACTGCTCATGGGAGCGGCTGCTTTCTGAACAGAAATCGGGGTCCTTTGACACAAGGCTTTCCTGGAGCACTGGGGGCATGTGGTCCCTTTTATATCTGGAAGGGACCGTGTCCTTCTGGACACCTGGGGAGCCCTTGGGGCTAGGGCCATGTCTTCCCACTGTCCTGGGGCTCCCTGGGCTGGCGAGGGGCTGGCTAGCTTTGCAGCCCGTTCTCTGTGTCAGCATGCCCAGGGACTGCTAGGCAGGCACGTGTATGGAGTGACTCGGATGCTGACCTCGTCTGTAGTTTGAATCCCTGAAATCCCTGAATCTTCTGGGGTTTTGTGGGCTGTCAGAGAGGCCAGCAGGGGAGGGAGTTGTCGGGATAGGAGGGTGCTTGCCACCCCCATCTCTCCTCCCGACTTTGGATCCACAGAGGGGGAGCCCAGGCATCAGGCGGGTAGAGATGAAGGGACCACGTTTTTGGCCAAGCCAGTTAGACAGTGTGATGCCAGCTCTGAGGACAAAGTAGCTCGTGGTGACCTCACCAGTCAGCGAGGCAGACTGGCCCGGTGGGAGGTGGAGACACACAGGGCAGTCTTGCCCTCAGTCAGCCTCCACCAGGCTCCTGGCAGGCAGGGTCCCTGGAGACCTTCTTCCTTCCAGCCCAGCTGGGCACAGAGGGCATGGGGGGTGGGCTGTGGGTGGGCAGAGAGGCCAGGAGTGCTATGTTCATGGGGATCCTTTCAAGAGGACGGAAGAGAGGAGAGAAATGTGCTCCCTCAGCAGGGGGCCCTCCCACTGGTCTGCTGAGCTCTGCACAGCCGTGTCTGGGCTGCCATGAAGGCAGGAAGGAGGAGGGCCGTGGCCTGGCCTTGGCCTCACCCCTGCCCTGCCTACCCTGGCAGGATTACCGCAACCCCCTGATGGAGATGGAGCCCAAGGCGCTGAGCGCCCGCAAGTGCCAGGTGGTGTTCTTCCGCGTGAAGGAGATCCTGCACTGCCACTCCATGTTCCAGATCGCCCTGTCTTCCCGCGTGGCCGAGTGGGACTCCACCGAGAAGATCGGGGACCTCTTCGTGGCCTCGGTGGGTGCCCCTGCCTCCTGCCCTGCCTGCCCACCCCTGAATTTTCCTGGCCTGAGCTGGGAGTGGGTGTGGCACCTCAAAGTGCCCAGCGTGTCCTTGGAGATGTCTGTGGAGGCAGGCCGCTGCCCCGCTGCGTCCGAGTAGCTGCGCCTCCATACCAGCAGGCCTTCAGGCACTGTGGGCAGCCGCCTGGCAGGTCGCTAGTCCCCGCCTGGCCAGGCCCTCATGGAGTGCCCTGCTTTGCAGCGCTGGCACAGACTACTGCTTTGGCCCGTGGAGGACTCCCCAGTGTGAGAAGGGCATTGGTCATGACTTGGGAGACCTGGTTCTGGTCCCACCCCAGTTTTGCAGCCCCTGCAGGTTCAGCCCAGTTTTGAACCCCTCTCTGGCTCAGGCTCTGCATTTATGGAATGAGGGGTGCACTGGACTTCTGATTTTCTAACCGAATCCTGGGGGCCCAGAGTGTCATGGGGTGTGGAGGGCCCGGCCGGTAGAACTCCACTTTGATCTTTTGTAGGTAATTAACTTGTGCTCAAAGAAAACTCTTTTTTTTCCAGACACAGAGAGAGACATTAGAGACAGAAAATGAGAAATCATCCCCCATGGGGGATGGTCACGCTGCAATCCCTTCTCCTCCATTCTCCTCTCGGGATCTTGGGCACACACGCACACGCACCCGGCGTGAGTTTTAAGCCACCGGGTCCGGGTTGCGAACTGCGGTCAACTACGTGGGAGTCCAGCGACATAGCCATTACGCTAACTGCTGTTTCCCAGAAAACTCTTTTTGAAACCCACAGCACTCAGTAGATCTGTTGAGTAGGTGCCCGTGTGGGCGTGTCCAGTGCTCTGGTGAGAGGGTTGGTTACTGCAGGCTTACCGTCCCACCCTGGGCCGGAGCCAGGCGCGCTGTCCTCCAGGCA